CGCGTAATTGAGCCACGTGCCACGGACTGCTACGCGTGCGCTATTTGTGGCCAACAACCCCCGCCACTCCCCACCTCGCCACAGGAGCCCTGCTTCTGCCCCTTCCTCATCAATCACCGTTCCGTTCTAAGCGCGCCAAATTGCAAACCAATTGGCATGCAACTGGTCTTGGTCGCGCGGGCTAATGGGATGGGGGTACGGGTGCGGAATGGAGAGCCCAGTCAAATGCCCAGAAATTAGAACGTAAATGTTTTCTCACCAAATAAAAACGGCCGACTGGCCGACTGGCGGACTGGCTGACTGCCCGACTGGCCGACTGGCGGTGGTTTGTACGGGTCTGACTTGGCCGTGGACCGGCCTGTCTGGCCTTTGTGCCTCATTTCGCTACGCTTTCTGGGAAATTAACTGCGAATTATTTTGGGCAGATGAGGCAACGTTGCTCGGTTCGGGGCAAGGACGGACACACGTTCAATTTCGCTGAATTTGCAATGCATTTCAAACAGGGAAATTCTGCTTGACAGGTGATTGGTCCGGGCGGATGATGCTCCTGCTACCGCTGCTGATCCTGATGATCCTGATGATGATGAATGGACGACGCGTGCTCCTTAAATGTAAGCCAATTGCGCAGTCAAGTAGCCAAAACAAATGTGAGAAACGATTTCAAATGAGTTACCATTTAAGGTCTTCAAAATGAGATTGCCTTACTTTATTCAACACTTTTATGGAAAAAAGGCACGACTATACTAATGGACAAGGAGTACTATATACACATAACACTAGTACCTATATGGTTTTACTTTCATATAATTATAGGCCTGGTTTAGTAGATTTTATCCTGATACTTAATTCAAAACAAATATATATTAACTATATCTTTTAACACTTTTAGACTTAAGGATGAGATAGTTAAAGGTGTGTCAAGCGGGGCGGAACATGCAATGAAAACTAAAATTAGTTTCCAATATGTTAAAGTTGATTCCAAAATGCTCCTATTTCCCATCTCCTTTCTATTCCTATTTGTCAGTGTTCCGCCGTTAATCGACCATAAGAATCGACATATAATTTTCAGCACAAAGGTAGTTTAGAATTTTATTGCCCATGCGCAATTTCAAATATTAATAGCCCTGGAAAAACAGCAGAAGAACCAGTTACAGCTCACAGCTCACAGTTCGCTTAAGTTCCGGGGCAAACAATGGTAAAAAAATAAAAACCCGTAACACTTACTGCCAGAGCTGTAGCTCGCTCGGAAGCTGCTCAGCTTCAATATTACATGAGCACAAATTGCAATTTAATCCACAGATGTCAGCATTACGATCAGTGTCTCTGTCTCAGCCCTTTTGCACGTGCCCAGGCCCAGGCTCCGGGTACTGGCTACTGGCTCTGTTCCGGCTGTGGCAGTGTTCGTTGGCTCTTGCCCCGCCGCGGCGTGTGTCAAGTTGAAAAATGGCATTAAAGTCACATTGACAATCATCAAAATGTGATTCGCTTGGAAAACAACAAAGGCGAAGGAAAACCCACCCCGGCGAGCGGGTCTGGCTCAAGACACATGTGCAGGACCCGTTCCCTGGCGACACTTTAGCGTATCCGGCCGCTCCCCCTGGCCCACTCGCTCGCCGCCCCCTCGGACTCTTCATCAAAAATGCCCTGCGCAAATCTGTCATATAACTTTGGCAAAAGGACTCTTGGGAGCTTGTTTATGTCAACTTCTGGCCATAATTTATATGTGCCCAGCCCGCATGTGTATGCATTCGAGTGGGCGTGGCATACTTATTAAATTTTAATTGCCATCGGATAGGGTGCAGCGCGCTGTGTGCTGCCGGAGGCACTAGCAAATGGCAGACTAAATGAACTAAACTAAGTCGCGACTTTATCTACCACTCACAATTAGACATCCAGCTTGGCTGCTCAAGCGACTGTCGTTTCCACAGTCTCCTTCGCAGTCCCCACTCTCACTCCTCAGCACTCAGTCGGGTCTCTTCGGGGTCTGTTTCTGCAGCTTTCCATTTATCTCTACTTCGGCAGGGGGTTTTGGAGCGCACTCAGACGCGAAATTGTCGCCGTCGAGCAGCAATCCAAATTCAATTAAACAAACACAATAAGTTTTCGATAAAGCCGCACTGATAAAGAAGACAAACTAAATATTCGCATAAAATTTACTAGCACCAACCAGCACTGGGGGAGGATGACAGTGGCAGAGGCAGTGGCATGAAAGGGTGGGTCGGACAGACGCAGAGTCTGTTGCAGCAGAGTCAATGGTGCAGATTAAATGTGGCTCACACCACACACACACACACACAAACAAAAATACACTCGAAACGATGATGATGATGATGTGATGTATGCGTAATCTGGAGCAATTCAGGCGCATAAGAAGGAGCGCTCCCTCGGAAACCACCCAGGAAGCCCACTAAAACAGGCATCCGAAATCGAATTCAAATTCGCTAAAACTCAGCTCGGATTATGCAGAGGCAGAGGCAGGCAGTGGAAACATCTTAATTGCGTGAATGTCGCGCCTTGATTTTCCAACAATTTTCCGGTTTTCCCCCGGCTTCCAGCTAGTGGCCATACAGACGGGATTGGAAAGCAATTGTCTTGGATTTGAGTCAAGGCGTTGGGCCTTGTTAAGGGTAGCTTAACGGTGTCCTGCCCCCCGTTAATTTATCGTTTCACTGATTTGTGTATTGGGATGGTACAGGGGCGTGCAGCGAGAGGGTTTATCTCTTGGGCCGGAAAAGTGAACCCACTTGAGTTACATTTGATTTGAACCCCATTTTCCGAGCGCCTCTGGCACGGTTAGCGTGGGAGCGAGCGTGGAGTGGAGACATTTTCTAAGTGTCAGTAAATTGTATTTATAGGCTTGGGTTAACTCTAATCTAAAGATTGTGCTTCAAGAAGAACCGAATTCTACACCAAAAGAAGAAAGCTCATTGCGTTAATCATTGAAAAACATTCGATTTTATGGCAAAAACTATTGAGACTTTCGATGTTTTATCAACAGTTTTTAACTTCTACCTATCGAAGTTCTATTCTGACTAAAGGGAATACCCTTGGCAAATATCAAGTGTGTTTATATTTAGTTGGAAAGGTGAAACAAATATCATTTGTAATCTCTGCGATATAAGGGATTGAGAAATAGAAGAACATACAATATATCTTTACAAAATCCTTATAGTATATCGGGTAGTTCTACGAATATCTATACCCACAATTCTATATATACAAAAGCAATATATACAACATAGTTTTACAAAATCCTTATAGTATATCGGGTTTTCGACTATACGACTATCTATACCCATAATTCTATCAAACCATGTATGTATCTACATCTATCTTTAATTGTAAGATCCCTATCCCTATATTCCCATATTTTACATATCTCTAGCTCAATTTTTTAGTACTTATAAGACGTAAACGGACGAATATACGGGATAAACGAATATTGCCCAAGACTAAGCGTAAATATTATTATTTAGTGCTCTTTTCTCAAAGTGTAATTATTGCAATTGAAGCATAATTTAAGCTGAAATATTTTGGGATATCCGAACACTACATTTTCGTTTTCATTGCGATTCTGCAATTCTCAAGAGAACTCTTATTCACACTCACCTGTCGTACCGCTGTCTCGCTCATCGGAAAATTACTTGGGCCAAAATGTGTATGCAACTAAAATTAGCATTTAATTTTATGCAAATTAAACAAGCTCCCTCTCAGCCCCTTTCCACCCACCGTGTGGCAGGGGCTCTCTTATGTGCTTCCGTTTGAATGGCGTGCAGCAGCATTTGCTCACATGTCTGCAGCTGAATAATTTAGCGACTTACATTTACAGAAATTAACGCACACCAACTTATTCACAGATACACACACGCGAGTTTGCACACATACATATATGCATGTATGCATGTGTGGGTGCCAGTGCTAGTGCTCGTTGCAAATAGGATTTGGGCGACTAATTGCAAAGTACTTAAGCAAAAGCTTTAAACAAATGTAAAAGCAAAATTTTTCATAAATTATTTAGCGAGCAAATGCAGTGGGGAACCAAAAGAAATTCAGAGTAACACAACGAGAAAGAAGTACAGGATGCAGGAGAGAGTACTTTTCGGCTATGGCAATAGATATAAGGGGCTTTGCCCGGCCATCCGTTTGGCTGTTCTCACACTTTGTGTCAGCGGCACTCGCGCAGTCAATCCGCATCGAGCTGGCATCGGCCATGCATGGATTTCTGTTTCAATTATACGCATCTTGGCTCTGGGACCTGGACAGGCAGTGGCGGTCCTGGCCCGCTCCTGGCGATTATAATATCAATGGGTCTCTGTGTGTTTGCAGGAGAGAGGTGTGCGCGCGTGAATTTATTCATTTGCTTGTCACTGTTTTGACAACCTCTCGCACGCCCAGCTAAAGATCTGGCCCCGGCCCCGGCTCCGGACTCTCGGCATTGTATCACACAAATCGGATTAAGAAATTTCGTATTCGCATTCGTTTGCCACATAATTGAATAGCCGGGCTCGTTCGCCTGGTGAGGTGAGTGAGTGAGTGAGTGAGTGTTTGGGTGCGTGTGAGTGCTTGAGCCGCTCATAGCAAATGAGAAGCAAATTTAAAATTTTACACTTGACTTAGCATTGTTGTCCTGTCATTTCACACGCCTCTGCCACACACGGAGCCGACTCCTGCCCGGATCTGTGTCCGTGTCCGTGTCCTTGTCCGTGTCTGTGTGCGGCTCTGCGATAAATTGTTTTTCCCTCGCACCCTCGTGCGTACAATGGATATTCGGCAATCTGATTTAAGGATACGCTTTGGTTATTTTTAAAATGTTTATTTTACACTTGACATTTATGCAATTTTTGGTTTGCTCTCTTTTTGATTTTGCTTGCCACTTAAACGCTACAGTGTTAATATTATGGTTTAATTCTAGATATGGCATTCGAGGTTCTCTAAGCGCTAGCATATCATACCGTATGCGTATATAAGTATAGTATTTTTACACGAACTATGTACAGGCACAACTTAATGCATGGAAATAACACAAACCAGGGATAGTACTAAGCACACACTTAAAGCAGTTCGACATTTACAATTCATCTGTTTGCCCCCCCGCTGGGGGCGGTGCGGGTTCCCTCGGGAGGCTTCCCTCGCTTTTCGAATAGCTGCAACATTCGCTGTTGCATCTTGCAATTTTATGAGTGCGAATGGCTCAGATGGTGGGCGCCCAGGGGGTGGAAGTAGGGGCCGTAGGGTGGGTATGGCACGGCATGCGGGTAGAGCAGGCTGCTGGCATAGGCACCTGGTCCATAGGAGCCGCCCGATGGTGGCGGAATGGTCGGACTGTTGACATCCATTCCCGGATTCTGCTTCTTCCACTTGGTGCGGCGGTTCTGGAACCAGATTTTCACCTGAGAACAAAATTACAACGAAAACACAATGCTTTATATGTGGATCTACACAAAATATATCGTCTATAGGGAACGGAAGCGATTCTCACCTGTGTCTCGGTCAGGCTCAAGCTGAGGGCAAGGTTCAGCCTCTCGCAGACGCTCAAGTACCGAGTGGTTTTGAACTTGTTCTCCAGCGACACGAGCTGCTCATAGGTGAAGGCGGTGCGGGCTCGGCGGGGCTTGGAGCCGCCACCGCCTCCGCTGCCACCGCCGCCGCCAGACTTGCCATCGCCGTTGCGGCTGCCGCCCTTTTTCGAGTCCGTCTCGCTGCTGGGATCATCAATGTCGCTCCCATCATCGCACATATCATCCTGATCCATGTCATTAAGATCCTGAGCTGCAAGACAGAACGAGAGAGAAAGAGTGGATGATAATTTTTGCATAAGTCAACAGGCTCAGTCAAGCCCGGCCAGCGAGTGGCCATCCATCAAGGGCCAGTGTCCAGGATTGGCAAACGGAAATGAAATCAATCACCTCGGATCCACCACCGCCGCATCATTGTTGGATTAATTGGAATTTTTCGGCGCACATGTGAGTGGCTGATGGACCGGGCAGAGGCTTGGGATTGGAGTTGATTGCAATCGATTCGGCAATCAAAATTCAATTAAGGATGCTCCCGCAACCCCACTGACCAACTAGCTCTGCCGTATCACGTATATGTATCTGTTGCGGAATCTCTTGCCTTTACAGCAGATGCAGCAGATCTTTAAGAAACCGAATACCCATGCCCAACCCCAACCCCAACCCCAACCCCGGACCGCGCTTAAGGCCATTAAAACTTTGCTTGTTAACAAATTTCGCTGCGGGAGAAAAGCGATTGGGGCAAACCCTTGAGCAAGTCAGGCGACAAAAAGGGTCGAGAAAAGTGTCAACCCTCCATCAAAGATGTTTTTTCGTCTGCATGGAATATGCATGGCCCTGCCCCGGTAATTGGCCAACATGATTGGCCATGTTTGCATGAAATTAGGCAGTGTGTGCGCGGAGAGGGGAGCGGATGCAGATGCGCCTAAAAGCGCACCACAGCATCACAGACAGTGCGCCAATTAAAGCGAAAATTTACGTGAACGCTTCATTTAATATTTAACGAATTTTCAGCGGCCAGCGACAGACAGATAGACAGACAGACGAGGGCGGGTCCCCATTACCGCTGGTAATGGGCTGTGGAGTGTTTGCAGCCACTTTGATATGCATTAATGGCACATTAGATGCTCTGCCAGACTGCCCGCCTACCCGCCTGCCTATCGTCCGGCAGCCTCATCAATACCTAACCGAATGTGATGTGAGTCGACGACTGGCCCTGACCACAATTGGTTTGAGTCAATTGAATTACCAGCATCAAAAACACACAGAACGAAAGGGGAGCCAGCCGACTAGCTGGCAGTCGGACCGGAGGCTTAATGCGCTGGCAAACAGACACGCGGAAAAGTCGAAAGGGGAGCTACATCCTGGCCACAGCTGGTTAATAAGCGTTGCAACCGCAAGCGAGCGGGGAGGGGAGACAGATCAAGAGAGGGAGAGTGAGAGTGCGCCTAATTACGATGGCCATTCAACTGAACGTTGCAACATGGCGAATGCGTAATGTCTGGCAGGGAGTGAGCATGAAGCCATTTGGCCAGACAGGCAAAAGTTCAATATTTACAGCTGACTGTGAGAGCTACGTTTAATTATACTGAAAGGATTATGCATATTTACGGCAAGTAAGCCAGAATCTGGTAGAGGCTTGTGATGGTTTGTGTGGGGATGTAATTGAGAGCCAAGACTCAACTTTGGCCAAGAATGATTCAAAGTTTCTACAAAAACAAAAACACTTCGAGTCCTTTGGAGTCATGGGCCATATATTTTATGGGACTTACAACATCGTTTAGTCGATGGCCCTCGTAAAGGGCTGATCATCATTATATTCCACAATCGTGTGGCCTCTGCTTATCTGCCATTTCCAAAATGACTGCAGTTAATTATAATTATGGCCAGAAGTACTTCATAAGCAATTTTGATGATATGGTGGGGCAGACAGAGAGAGAGACAAAGGCTCATATGCCCAGACAGAATGCTCGATGGAGCAATTTTGGAGCAGACACATGGAGAGTGGAGAGGTGGAGAGATGGAAAGATGGAGAGGAGAGATGGCGTTACAGCCATACAATTTAAACTTAATTATGAAATCCGAGTGTTAATTACCACAAACTGGCGCATAATTTACCCACCACCCCCCAGAAAATGGCTTACAAATTTGGAAGTTCTTTGTGGCACTGGCAATCATTGTAATCGCATCCCGTCTGGCCAATGCGACCCCTGGGAGCATTTGTCGTCTCATTTTGCCATTTTCATAAAATAATAAATGAGTTGCTGATGGACGGAAAATACTCGTAAAAGCGAGCTCCAACCACGCCAAGCTCTCCAAAATTGTCGCTTAAAATGGAGCTACGGCACAGCCTTCCTTCGACAGAAACACGCATACAGATGGGCAGAGAAAGAGAGAGAGAGTGCTCCCCCGAGTGCGAACACTAATACATATGCATGCCCCCCCACCACCCCATTCACAAGAGCGAGACAGCGACAGAGAGAAAGAGAGGGAAGCGGCAGGAGAGAGCGCGCCAAATGGAGTGCTGCTGAAAAAGAATAAAAGTTTCTCGCAGCCATTTTACATTTTTGTGTGTGTCGGGGGTTGCTGCCAGGCCGTGCCATGCCCGCCCACATTTAAATGTTGGCACAGAGCCCGGGTTGTCCCCCCTGCCCCCTGCTGACGGATTTTCCCCCTCTTAGCAACTTACTTAGTTATCGCATCGCATGTTTTTTCATATGACTTTTGGGGCGCATTTTCGACGCTGGTCTGGTCTGGTCGGGCTATCTGGATTATACAGGCAACACTCACTCGTATGCATCCGTATCCGTAGCCGTATCTACACGGCAGTCGTGTTATTTTTGTTGCTCTCTCAGTTATCGCCTAGTTTGTGTTTGTGTTAGTTTTATGCTTCACTTTTGTTTTGCAATTTAAATGAAATGCAAATTACTCGGCCTACCACCGCACCGCTCCTGCGCCTAAAACGGAATTAATGTCTCCTTGGAGAATTGCATGCCGTCTCGTATGAGTATGCCTAATATTTATGAATTATTAACCAGCGCTGCTGATGATGCATTTGGTAAGCTAAAGGGAGAGGGAGAGATGGCGGTAGGGGGAGCTGAATGTGCCATAAAATCTAATTAGTCGCAATGACAAAAGGCCGCATAATTACGCTAATCTTACGCCGAAGCGAGAGAAGCAGGGTCGCATTAGCACCTCCTCCCAATAGGCCATAAAATCAGGGCAAGGCAGGGGGATGTGCGACAGCGGCCATTGAAGCGCCTAATGAATGTGCGGTAATTAAGTACCTTGCTAATTAATGACTACAGCAACACCAACACCAACCAACCAACCAACCAACCAACCAACCAACAGTCGTTGAATACAAGCCCGCAAACAGTGCGTATGCGTGATGTGCACACAGACACGCAGACAAACAGACACACAGATAGAATGCAAAGTCCGGGGTTGACTGTAAACTGGCAGCAACAGAGCCATGGCGGAGCAACATAATTATTTCCAACATCATTATCGTCCGTAAATTCTCCCCTGGCCTGCCCTGCCCTGCCCTGCCTTTCCTGTGTCTGCCTGTCTGTCTGCCCAGTCTGCCCTGGCTGTCTGCCTGTCTATATTTTCCTCCATTCGTATGTTTGCCCACAAGCAGCACAGAGCAGAGCAGAGCCTCTCCTCTATTTACGCCACTTCCTGGCTGGGGTCGTTTCAGCCGCTTTTATTAGCAGTTATGTTCGGAGCGGAGCCCTCGGAGGGCCCGCCATTGATGAAGTTAATTGTGTTTTATTAACACAAACACAAATGCACAAACAGCAAAAGCCGACAACGGACAGCAGGACAACAGGACAACCAGCAATGGCCGATAATGTGTCGTTGATAATGAGGTTGTTGGTGGTGGAGCTGCTGCTGCTGCTGTTGCTGTGGTTGTGCTGTGCGCCATTTTCTGTGTGCTATAATTTCCGTACATAAGCGCTTAACGAAGGGTCCCATCAAATGGGTGCGAGTGTGTGTGTGAGTGAGTGCGTGTGCTGCTGTGTGAATGGCACTTTGAAGTGAGTGAATTAATTGGCAGACTACTATATACATACATACATACATAGTATGCATATTGACCCGTTCCAATGTTGGCTAAAGGCAAACAGCCAAAACGGGCTTCAAAGGAGATCACAGGGAATGGGGTAAGGGAAGCCCAAACATGTCGATCGACCACTCTTTCTCTCAACTTTCGCATGGAATTCAATTATTTTTCTCCATTATACGAATATAACCACAAGCCATTACCAATTAAGTCAACGATTCAGGCCACCGTTTCATAATCAGATCCACACAAACCGCTCCGTCAATTTCAAAACTTGAGCTTAAGCTCCATCAACCCCCAACCCATATCCAGCGACTTTTCTTTTTCCCGTTTTTTGGCGCTTTGGCAAAAGCTTAGCACCCGCCAACCCCCATTCCACAACAACTTCAATCAAATTTGCAAATTTTTATTTGAGCAATTTCTTTGCGGCAAGCCGAGCATGAAAATCAATTAATTTTCAGCAAAAATTTTTAGCCAGAAACCGAAGGAAAAAGGCAGCCGAAAAAAAGGCATTGGAAAACCCGGAACCTGATCCGCAGCAAGACAAACATTGGAAGGAGAGAGTGAGCGGGAGAGAGAGAGAGGGGGGCGGGGGGCAAAAAAGGAAATGTAACTTTTCCAGAAAGCAATGGCTTTTCCCCAATTAAAACATCAATCAATCAATTAAAAGCAATTCTATTGAAAATCCTTATTGGATATGAGAGCATATCCTTCCTGGTCTAAACAAGTTTGTGTGCACCTCCTGATTTTTTTTTTCATTTTAGCTGCCTGTTCCGGTATATGTGCATTTGTTTTCCATTGAATATACGCAAAATATAAATGCCTTCATGGGCAGCACAAGCACACACCCCCACAGAGCGCACATCGTACGTGACTTGCGCCTGAAAGCAGGCAACACAAAAATCTCCAGTGCTTCAAAATGGTGGTGGCCTCCTGATGAAATGGCAGGGATGTGTGGGAGTGGGGCCGGCAAAGGCAAAGGCAAATTCAAAATCAAAACATACCTAAAAACGATACAAGCACCAGTATAAATATAACATGCCACCACCCACGTGGGGTCGCTACCCCATCCAGAGGCAGAACGTACTTTTTCAAAGGAAGAGAAAAACCCAACTGTTTGCAGGTGGTTTCCTCTCGTTTTTCCAGTGTCTGTCTGTGCTGCTCTCGCTATATGTATACGTACGGAATCCCAGCGACACTCGAGGGATCGAGTTGCTAGCTGATGTGCCCTGAATTCCAACTGATTTCAATCAAATCTGTTAACGATTACTTAGCTTCCTCAGTGATTTGCAATTTATCGAGTGTGAACACAATCCCAGTTTAAATATATGACTTATAGGACTTATAAGACACTCACCAGACATATCCTCGCTTTGATCATCGTCTAAACGCTCGTGCATCTCCTCATCGCGATCGTAGCTCCATTGCCGTGGATGCCCGAAGGGATGGCCAGAGGCGGGCATTTTGTTGCCAGTGAACTTGTTGGGATCCAGTATGTTCTCCACAGAGAAAGCCAGCCGCTTAGTGGCCGCCTCACGATCACTCGAGGCACTGGTCGAAGCAGAGTTGGCATTTGGTGTGGCACTTGTGGTCACGGAACGCGTCAGATCAACGGGGCAGACCTGTAAAACATATGAGAAATATATAGTTAAGTTAGGTACTGGAAAAGTATAAGCCATATGATGATAAGAACAAAAACCTCCACAATTTATTACATCTTTAGATGTACCCAGAGAAGATTAAAAAATGTATACCAAAAGATTTGCACCCAGACTTACACTTTGACAACGATATAAAAATATTTGACCATATATTTAAGATAGTTATATTTCATTTTTAAATTAAATATATTTTAAATATTTTCATATCTATTTTAAATATATTTCCTACAAATTACAATTTAATATATAAGTACTTCATAGTATCTTCCATTTAGATTAAATATGGACCACACTAAAAGGACTTTTAAGTTTCACGATGTTTGTATTCATTTTTCCCTGAGTGCAATGGCAATCTCAATTATTTTCATATTGAAATAAGATTCTTATGATATAAATCTTGTCTCAAATTTATTATTATCCCTTAAATGGAACTAAAATCAAGATCTGAATTCAAGCGGGTTCTGTTCCTCTTTAAACAAAGATTCAAACGTTAACCTCTGCCCCCCCGAACACTTACCGACGGCGTGCTGTGGGATCCATCGTTGCTGTCCTCGTCGTTTCCATCCACATTGAGCTCTTCGCTGGTGTCGCTGCGCGCATAATTAGCGGCCGCTATCTGTCGTGAGGTGGCCGCCGCAGCCGCCGCCGCGGCCGCCAGTCCGCCCAGCTGTATTCGGAAGCCGTAGTCGCTCAGATCCCGGCCAGCCGGCGAGACGGAGTTGGAAGTGGAGCTGGAGGCTGCCGCAGATGTGCTCGGGGCTGGGGCCTGGCTGGAGCGAGCGGCCACAGCAGCCACCAGCTTAATGCGCTCCAAGTCCATGTCGCTGGCGGACAAGGGACTCACCGGCTGCGGGCCGCTGCTTAAGAGGATCTGGGCTGGTTGTGGTTGTGGCTGGGCGGAATGTGCGGGAGGATTGGCTGGTGCTGCGATGGGAGAGCTCGTCGGCTGCTCGGAATGTGTGGCTGGAGATGTGGGCGGCGACAGAGGCGATGTGGCTGGCGAGGGCGGGGCAGTGGTGCTGCTAGTGGCACTGGGTGCCCGCAGATGGAACACTCCAGCTGCAGCAGGATGTGGATGCTGATGCGGATGCGAGTGCGGATGAGGCTGGTGCTGCTGGTGGAGGTGATGGTGATGATGGTGGTGCATATGCTGCTGGGCCGCGGCCGCGGCCAGGAACTGTGGATTCTGCAGCAGATGCGGATGCTGTTGCAGCAGGGCCGCGTGTGGATGCTGCAGTGGCTCAGGGCGCGCCAACTGCCGCACGGCACTCAGTTCAAGCAGCTTTCGCTGCTGAGCGGGCGAGGAGAAGTTGGTGTTGATCACAACGTTGGGTGCTCCCGATGCTGGCGGGGACTGCGATCGACGCGATTGGTTCCCATTGATGCTGTTGTTGTTGTGGTTTGTCAGGCTGCTGTTGTTGTTGTTGTGGTTGGTCTTGTCCTTGTCGGACGGACAGTCCTCCTGCGAGGGGCTGAGGCGGCTGATCAGGCTGCCGGACTCGCTGCTCATCTGCTTGAGCCGCTCGATGGAGAAGCGCAGCTCCTGCTCCTGCTGCTTGGCCGCCGCCTGCTGTCCACTGGCGCTGCTGATGATAAACTTGGGTATCTTTGGAGGCGTAGAAGTGGCTGTTCCTCCGCCTCCGCCTGCACCTGCATCCACGTTCCCCAGCTCCGGCGAGGTATTCGACTTGGGCGAGTCCGGATTGGAGTTGGGACTCATCAGGCCACCGACGGCCGTGGGCTGATTGTCGCTGCTGGCCTTTTGCGCCGGCGACTGCAACATGACCATGTTGGATGACGGCTTTCGTTTCTCAATACACTTGCTGTTACTTGCGATACACTGTTCAAAAACACTGCACGGGGCACGGGTGGCACGGGTGGCACGGCTGGTTCACTGCGGTGTTGCGCGATGTGTGTCTTGTCCGCTTGATGGCAGCCAATCGACTGTCCACTGATGCCGGCGCGTATCTCACAAAATATCTGGCGATGCTATCCGCTTATCCTGAGCGTAATCCGGGTACGACGACGACTCACACTGCACGGGGCGAGAGCCGGGAGCGTAATGAGGGTTGCTCGGGTGTCGGGTTGATAATCCAGCAGATGCGACGCTGCCCTGCTTCCGTTGAGTGTCCCTGTGGCAAGTCAACTGCTAAATGGGGAAGCACACACAAATCTGTTTGTCGGTTGGTGGTGGGCTATTTCGAGTGCACAGCACAGTGCCTCTCTCTCCCTCTCTCTCTGTCTGTCTCTCTGTAGCTCTCTCTCTCTCTCTGGCGGCACTACACGCCCCCATTTGCCAGAGTTGAGTGGTTCCTGGGACATTTTGAGTGGGATTGACTCCTCCCTTTCCGTGCGGGAGGGCGGTCATGTCCTAATCTCTACTAGCATCTAATGATTTAATTTGCCTTGCACTCGTTAGCAAATGTAATGGTCTGTTCCGAGTCTAAGCCACAGCAAGCCAGAGCCGCAGAGCGAGAGAGAGCCGTAGGTGGAACAGAGGAAGAGAGGAAGAGGACGGGGAAGAGGTTGTCTTTCGGCTCTCTGTTTTACATAGTTCTTCACTCAACTGTAATAGCTGTAAGCCCGAGGAGAACAAAGGCGTGTGTGGGTGTATCTGGGGTCCCTCTGGATGTGAGGATGTGAGTAATTGTCAAATTATTTAGCGCAAAATTTGTTTGTTTATGCGCTCGGCTGCTTCCGAAATGGATCCCCAACTTTTTTATATTTTATTTGCTTTCCCTCTGTTGCGATGTTGCGAGTGGTTTCCTTTTCCTTCCTCTGCTCGCTTATGCCTGGGTGGTTCCTAGTCATATATGCATGAATGCTTTGTGCCTTTATGGCAGCGGATGGATGGAGGATGCAGGATGGGGGCAGAGGGTACACTGCTCTGCCAGATTTTCTTCAGCTTAATTGAATTTTAGAATTTGCATGCTTCTCTAATTATGTTGCTAATTAGTTGGTTTATTTATTTGCATTTTTTCCTTTCGTTTTCTCTGTCGTAAATCATCTTAAAGGCTACTCAGAGCTGACCATTGTTGGATCTGGTCAGCCCGCTTCCCCCCCTCTTGCCACTTGACTTGACGACACTTCTTTCTATGTAAAACTCGCAAGTGCTCGAGGGAGACGGTAGACAAACTATTGCTGCACTCTACTTGGGTCTCTCTCTTTACCCTCTCTCTCTCTCTCTCTCTCTCACTTTCTCTCTGCGCTTGCTCGCTCTCGGCAAAAGATTCTTTTAAATTGAACCAAAAATTTATATGCGCTTTGGCACAGACGATTTAATATCGCATCCAATTTGCGGTTTATACGCATCGCAGCAGTGGCCTTCAGTGCGGGGTGAGTGAGGGTTAAGGGTGTCGGAAGGCGGAAGGCGGATAGGCTCTTTTGCTCTGCTCCTCTCTGCTCTCCGCGCTGGCTGGACCGAGGCTGGGTTTGAGCGCACAATGGGGCGTATAAGTGACATCGTTAAGTGGACGCAGGACGGACCGGACCGGACCGGAGGATGCTGCTTAATGAACTCCAACGGCAGCAGAGCGAAGATGGAGATTTGGATGGGTGGGCAGCGGAGATAGAAAGCGGAAAGGGAAGTCAATGTGGGGTGGGGGGCACCTCTCTATCTCCTCTATCCCCTCCATCAGCATCGTCTTCCTCTAGCTTTTTCTGCTCGTTTTATTGTGCGCCTCGTCACTCGTTAGCACTGCACGGCCCCGCTCTTCTATAATTAACCGCAGAACGAGTGGGAGAACGGGAACGAGATACTTAATGAGCAGCTTGTTATGCCGTTTTTCGTTTTAATTAGTTTTAAGATGCCCGCCGCCGCCGCCGCCGCCGCCAGCACCAATCCAATGCGGCAGCCACTCATTTTAATTGGCCCCCATTGATGGGAGGACTTACGAGGATATGTATGTATGTATGTACATCAATACATGCACAAGACTATGTACAGAATGCCTGTGGATTTGGAAAGAGAAGGGATCGCTGAGAGAATAATCTCATGTCATCATTCTCTCTTTACACAGAGAAAAATACCTGAAAATGTCATAGATTTTCCCCGCAAGTGGAAATTGCAGAAAGAAAGTGTTTTCATTAATACGAAAATATTTTAAATAAATTTATTTATTTACAACAAATTTATTCCATATTTATATTGAATATTTTCATAATTCAAAATATTGAAATCGAAATTAATTCTACCGAATTTCACTCTTTACTATGCGAACTTCTTCTTGCTGATTTCTCTCAGTGTGGGTAAGTGCTTAACTCTTTTACATGCAAAATTAAATGATGCGCATACGCACGGTAAAACCGCAAATTATTTTAATTGCTTGTCTCGTCATTATTCATTATTTAAGTGCGCTCAAACAGCCCCGACGTACTATACGGAATACGTTAGTATGTGCACACACGCATACGCCAATACATGGCTGCTGTGTGTGTGTGTGTGTGTGAGTGGGGCAGGAAAATTGGCAGCTCGCCAGACGGAAACGCACACACACACACACACACACGTATGTACATATGTATGCCGTTTCGTCCCCACACAAAAGCCGCTGTTTACATAGACATCAAACTTTTTACGCTGCGGAAAAGCGGAAAATTGCTCTGGCTGTCGCATGTGTGATGCTCTCTCGCTCCCCCTCATTCTCGCTGGGTTCTGTCTCGCCCTCTCTCTCTCTCTTCTGCTCTGATTTACTTACTCTTCCATTTAATTAGTGAAAATAAGTATTAAATGAGCAGCTCTTGTTAAAATAAATAGTGCATGCAATGGCGGCAGTTCCACCTCCCTCCCATTCTTTGGCTCTCAACAGGCTGCGCAAGATTTACAACTAATTAAAAGGCAAATACTGTGCTTCAGGGCAGGAGGGGAGGGGCGAGCAAATCGATGGGCAGATCGAAAAGCCGCTGACCTCGCGACAAATGCAATTAAAACTACAAGTGCGCGGCCATCTGCATAATTATGCGTTAATTGAATTATTCTCAATTTATTTCTGCACTGTCAATTTTCCCGCCCTAAGCCCATGTGCATATGTGTGTGTGTGCCATTGTCCGCTGTATTTGTATATTTAATGAAGTGCGAGCGGTACGGCCTCGCCTCGAGTGGAGACCTCGACACACTCCCCCTCATCCTGCTCCCCCTCCTCCTCCTCCCAGGACAACGCCTCTCTTCGCCTCGCTCTGTTTATTCGGCCATTTTGTTGTTTGCACTCCACTTGCCGTAAGCCCCCACGTTAATTTGTTTGACTAATTAAACTAATGAGCGTTCAAAGTTAATACATAAATTAGTCAGCCAGCTGGGTAGAGCGGAGCGCAGGAGCGCAGGGGCGCAGGAGCGGAGGAGAGCAGACAGCTGCTGGATTGCCGACTAAACTCATTATCCAATTTTGCTGGCAAATCGCTTTTTCGCTAAGCTCAATTTTGAATAATTCATTAGTTTGGTTTCGATTCAGTCATTCTGTGACTCGTATTGGCTTACGAATATTTCAAAGTATGAGTTTTGATAATGGTAATTCTATATAACAGATAATAGAAGGGAAGGGAAGCCTCTTTAAAACATAATGATTATATTTAGTGGTTATTCATATATTTCTCTCATCCTGCCTACTTTTCACATAAGTCTACATCTGGTCTCTCTTTCTATCTATGCCCAAACTTCAATACCTTTCGTCCTTAGAGGACATGTGTGAAATACTCTCTTTAATTGTCAACAACCTAGAGCTAAAACAGGGTTCCAAAAAGGCTTGACAATAATAGTTAGTTCGGATTTTCCTAATAAATATAATATAATGTTGCCGATGTGTTGCTGCACACTTATGATTAAACACTCTCGATTTCGATCAGTGCCGCTCACCATTATAATCCATCACGTAGCGACCCCGCACACGTTGCTCGTGAGAATGCCGAATATAGGCTGAGGCCATTCCCTTGATGCCCAAAAAGGTTATGGCGCCGAGGAAGATGCCCAGGAGTCTGTCGTCTACCTTGGCGTACAAGGTGTTTCCCAGGAACACGGAAACGCTGGGCAGACTGAGGGCCACGATGAAGCTGGCAGAGGGTCTGCGGAGTGTCTCGTGGTCAAAGACGGCCAAGTCGGGGTCCTGAAAGTCTAAACCCAAGGCCGGACGATCTAGGGGCAGATCATCGAAGTAGCTGTCGTCGAGCGGGGCCCCGGGCAGCAGCTCGCCGCCCTCATCCAGATTGTCTGGCGACACGCGACGTCTGCGGAAGATGCGTAGGAGGCGCAACAAGTATTCGTCCAATTTGAGATTGCGAAGCAGCAGAAGCCCCGCAGGAATCATCGGCAGGGCGATCATCAGGAGCGTGGTCTCCTCGTTCAGTAGCGCCAGGCTCTTGCGGTAGCCAATGACCTGTATCACTGTCAGGGCCCCAAAGGTCATGGCCGAGAAGTAGAGGGTGGCCGAAAGTGTGCCCACCGCCACGCTGGGACACAGTAACCCGTATACGTCGTCGATCCGAAGCAGGAGCGCATCGAATCGGCAGAGCGGCGTGTCCACGATGAGGTACTCTGTGAGGCACTGGGAGCACGCGATCGGCCGATTCGGATGTAGCAGCTGTGTCTCATCGATCCAGCGATTCAGGCAGCTGCGGTGCACCCACTTGTTGCTGCCGCGGCAGCGGCACGGATGCAGCCAGTCCAAGCGCTGCGGCGGCTCCTCGTCGCTTTCCAGGCAGATCCAGCACATTCGCTCCTCCTCGAGCCCCCCATAAAACCGTTGCCTTTGGGTGCGTCGCATTCGCCGCAGTCTAAGCATTTTCGACGCAATATTTTTTTGTTAAATTTTGTTAAACTTGGTTATTTACGATATACAAAATGAAATGTGACTTTCGACTCTCTCCACAGATGTACTCGTGACATTTATCTCGACACCTGTCGATCCTATAATCCTTCGAATCTGTGCTAAGTCTGCATTAAAAATGTGCACCTAAAAGCCCATTAGGACACCATCCCTCGGCATCGGGAGGGTGCACGGGCGTGCAAACACTCATTCAAGCGAGCCGTGTTGTTGTTGCCACAAATTAAATATGCTGCGCTAATTCCTCCATCAATTTGCAGCTCATTTCATATGCCAACCCATTTCGCAAGCCATCATCGACATTCAACGCACGTGTTCCGGGCCGAAATGCCGGCGGCCAGAGCCGGAGCCGGAGCCAGAGCCAGCCAAGTGTCCAGAGGGGCCAGGCCAGGCCAGGCGCGGGAGCATGGCTGAAACTAGTTTGCATTCAGCTTGTGCACGTAATTAGAAAATTTCAATGGCTATATGTACCGCCCATAGGCCAACCAGAAGACCAGTACAGCCGGAGAGCTGGACAGCTCGACAGCTGAAGAGCCGGAGAGCCGAAGAGCAGCGGCTATGCTGGTGAAATGAAAACAAAAACAGAAACGTGCTAATTGCAAATTAATTATGCAGGATATTGAATTTGCACTAAACGCAAAAGCGGAAACGGAATTGGCCAGCAAGAATAAGAACACGAACAGGCAAGAGAGAGACAGAGACAGAGACAGAGGGAGAGAAAGAGAGAGCGATGGAAAAACTCGCGAAGTAGTGAACGTGATTTGCATGGAGAATGCAATTAGATTTTAGGCAAATGAAGTGGATCTAGGTCTGGGTCTGGGTCTGGTGCCTCTAATGGCTGACACGATTAAGCGTGCACAACGGAAACAGCAACAAGGACAACAACAAAGAGAGGAAGCGGAAGCGGAAACGAAGGCAATGGGCAATGGCTGAAGCAGCTTTTCCGCTGTCACTGCTCCACCAGCAGCAGAACGGCAGAGCGGCAGAACAGCAGAACAGCAGCATCAGCGTATAAACAGCTAAAGTGTTAATTGCCATAAATGCTTGTCATTGTAGCGGTAAACGGCAGTAGATATTTGCAACGTCGTCGCCACTGCGCCAGCGCCCGAACTCAAAAAAGACAACCAACCAACCACCCAGCCCCCCATCCACCCACACCGCACCCACACTGCCACTCCCGCTGTCGCTCCGAGAGACACGGAAAGAGCGTTTAGACGGCGACACATTCTCTGAGCAGCACTTGCACTCAAATGAATGAAATGAACTGCTAAATTATGCACGCGATTTAACCCTCATTTCGGCAGCCACAATTTAACGCGTAGCTTCACTCCACTCCCCGCCACCCTCCTCCTACCCCACACTCACCATTACTCTCTCTCTCTCGATTTCTCTTCTCACTCACTGCGCAGCGAAGGTCTCTCTGAACACGCCTCTTTCTGTGCAGCCAATGAGAAATTCGAGTCTCACTCAACATTCAGGAATTGCTCTTTGACGTTTTCAACATGGCCGCCAGAGAGAACGCACTCACTCAACAGAGAGAGAAGGAGAGAGAGATGGCACTCAACAGAAGAGCAAGGGCAAGAGTGGGATACACTATATATGCGGGATTCGGGATTTCCCCTGCAGCTTTTTGCTTTTTGGTCCCTTTGCAGACTTTTTGCACCTTTTATTTTGTCATTTGTGTGTAATTTCGAAAAATGTTGGCGACATTATGACGCCCGTCACAAGTTGGGCTGGGCTGGGCTGGGCTGGGTCGCACGCTTAAGTGTCCTCTAGGGTACTTACTTCGTTAGCAGAAGTTTCTCTTCTCGGTTCCATCCCCACCCCTCCTCCACCTCCTCGTCTTCGTCCTCTTCTTTGTTGTTGCTGATGCTGCTGCTGGACCCTTCACCCTGCCGCAGCACTCTGCTCCTTCTGTCGTTGCGGTGGCGGTGGCGAACTACTGTGCTTGTCGTTTTGCGGATATGTCTCTTATTTTCATAACTGTAAATTGCTTTAGATATTAAGTCTGCTCTACACAGAGCTCTGAGCATGCCTCTGTATGGGTGTTGCTGAGGGTGAGAATTGTATGGGAAGGTCGAGGAGTGGCAGCAGGGGGTGCGCCGTCCTTGTTGTCCAGCAGGACATTTTTTGGCCAGAACAGGACGATATGCCCGCATGACACTATGTGTAGCGATTAAAATATACACTTTGAAAGCTGCAGTCATTAGCCATAACAATTGCCTTTTGCCAGCCACCCCACCCCACCAGCACCGCACCGACTTTTCTCTTTTGGCTAAACAATTAAAAGTGTGCATCAGATATGCATATGATCACATGCCTTAGATGCATAGATGATACAAGAAATTTAAGATATGAACGTGTGGGATTTTTTATATGGTATGCATGCTAGTTAGGGATGGTATAGGATATTTTTGGTTCATTTTTGAGTAATTATTGGAATAATATTTACCTACAATTTTAGACATTTTTTTTATAATAATAAAGAGGGTAGCAGAGTGTAGCAACGTTCCCAGAAATTCAGAAGGGTTGAAAGGATAGAAATAATTTTTTTCTTTTTTCAAGATCACTCAGGATTGTGCCACAATGGTTTTAGTTTAGGTTATCAGATAACTCATAGAATTAATTTATTCAAAATATTATATTTACATATATATAACATTGCCACACCAGCATGCCAAATCTTGAAAGTTGAATCACAAAATAAAGATTTTAATATGCGCAAAATTGAGACATAAATTAAAGTCACATAATTCTCATTAAAAGACCGTAAACGAGGCGCACAGACAACAGGCCAGACCGCAGACCCCAGACCCCAGAACAGAACAAAGAGCCGTGGATTGGTCCGGCCAGTAATAAAAGTATATGTACTGCCACCAATCTGTTTATATAAAGACATTATTTGCCGCCGACTCTTGGCATACAGATCAAAGAGCACATCGTTTTGGCCATAATTTAATAGTTTCGAAATACAGAAATTAAGATCCAAAGCTGCCTGCTTAGGCAAATCAAATTAAACTAAGCGGAACGCCGAGTGGCCACCGTAATAATCCCAGCACACACACACACACACACACACAAATGCTAATTGGCAGAGAGTCTTACTAAAATCAGAGGGAGAGAAAGGGAGAGATTTGGAGAGACAGAGACAGTCACAGTGGAAGAGAGGGAGCCACCCAAGGCGGCAGCATTCATTGCGGCGCTAAGTGGGCGGCGTTCGGTTTTCCCAACCAAAAAGCCTAAAGGGGAACGGAAGGCTTTTCCTTTTCCTCTTGTCTGCTGTGCTGCTCTGCTCTGCTCTGTGTTCTGCTCTGTTCTGTGGGTCTGCGCGCGCAATTTAAGATGAAATTTATGCGCAGAGTCGGACGGAAAGGGCATTAAAAATGGAATAAATGCGCAGCGGCTCAATGTGTTAAACGGCACATGTTATTTAAAACTGTATTTAATGTTTTTATTATTTGGGAATTTCTGCCAGCTTTATATATTTTGGCATATTCTGTTTTTGTTTGTTGCGGCTCCGGCCATTTGTCTTCGGTGGAGCGTGGAATATTTTTGGGGCATAAAGAAATTTGTTAATTTCGATATTTGCCTTTGTGTTGGGGATATTAATGATTATAAATATATTCAGCGGCAAAACAAAATCATAAACCACACAATACCACCATTCGCGAGTGTGTGCGTGTGTGTGTGTGAGTGTGCTGTACAATACACATGCATGAAATATTTAGCAACGCTCACACGAGCTTAGATTGCATAATGCATATTTTATGAATGTTTTCGAGCATTTCGCCCCTCGCCCCCCTCTGTACTCCGCTGTACGAGTATGTTTTCGCTTTGTTCTTTCTGTGCCAAGTCAGGTCGGGTCTCACAAAAAGTGTGGAAAATAAAAATAAAGTGCGCTCGCAAAAAAGGCCAACCAGAGCAGGAAGGGAACGGAACCAAACGAATTTTAAAGGCACTGCGGCAACAAAAGCAGCGCCTGGCACTGGCACGGCCCCTCCACCAAGGACAAACATCCAGGACATGCTGCAAAAATTGTTCCTCGGTTGCTTTTGCCACTCCAGAGCGAGCCGCGCCGTTGCTGGCATTGTTGCCAGCCGGACAGGATTTTTTGGATTTGTAGCATTCTCAATGTTTGGCTTGCTGGCTGACTAACTGAGTCCGTCCGCCGTGCACCTACACTGTGCGAAAACAAAGGCCAACAAGAGACAAGAGAACAACAAAGTGTAAAAGTAAGGGACGGATCTGCCATCCTGAGGCTCGAAATGGCTCAACTGATCCTTTACTGCAGTTCAAAAGTCAAGTCTTCCAAGTCAAGTCAAAGCTAAGTAAAGGATTGACCGATAAATATGATGAAAGAAAGACGCGAAATGGTGAAATACGAATTGCAAGCACCAGCCAGAGAACCTATAAGATAAGAGCACTACGAGCCGCATAAATCTGTGCTATATCTACCTTGGGGGAGATACAAATTCTATTACCATTCTTTAGCAACAATTGCTGAACCTTCTGGTAGAGTTTAGTGAGTCTGATTCAATGAGAATTAATTGTGAAATAGAGCCAGTATTCCTTAAAATCATATCTTAAGTTGTAAATATTCTTCACCCATTGGCAAGCCATTGATTTTGAAGATTTCTTCTCTTGATTTTGACTCATTTTGAGACATTTTTTTTGTCAGTGTACACCTCTATACCAGAAAGATGTCTGTGTGTGTGTGAGTTGGCTGATGTCAATCCATCATTTGCCTTAACACCATGATTTGATTTGTTTATTTGACGAGAGCAATATTAAGAGAAATGGAACACAATTGCCTTTCCTCTACTGCTGCCTGCTCTGATTGCCATGAATAAATAATTTTCAAATCAGACACTGGCCAAATCCCAGCTATAGAAGGTAATGACAGGCCCCCGAGTGGAATTCAGTTGGAAGAGCCTGGGCCTGCATGCCTGATTACGCAG